TATATATAGTGGACTTTCCAATCACATTCAACATATGAGGGTCAAGCAGCTGAGTTCCTAGGAACTGACAGGCAGACACTAGCACATATGATTTGATTATAGTGGTGAAGGTTTTGTAGAATTAACCACAATTTTTGAAGAGCTGAACACAGTGCATTACATGCCACAAGGTCCCCAAACAACCCACCACAGGTTTTGAATTCAGAGTTGTCCTTCTCATAGACCAGTTGCAATCCAAGGCTATAGAACCCAGTCTGTCCTGCTATTTACAGGGGAGAAGAAGAGGATTCATGCCTTTGGGAAAGGCATGAATCATATATATATATATATATATATATATATATATATATATATATATTAGCACTTACATGCTTTATATATATGATACAACAATATATAAATTTTATAAATCAACAAACAGTATTTGAAAAATATGACAAACTGGAAAGGTTTTTTGTGACATGTTTCAAAAAAAACCTTTCCAGTTTGTCATATTTGTTTATTATATATATATATATATATATAAAATCTCAACTTGGTAATTAACTAAAACTTCCCACTAGTACAGCATTAGGAGGTAACACATGGTGAGTTGCCCACAAATGTACCTATGGGACAAAGATAAATATTGCCCCGTTTTTTGCTGGTGTTGGTATCCACCAACCCTACCTCATTATTGAAATGAGGGAGATGCTGCCTCAGGATTGGAACCCCTAAGACCAAGCATCCCTTAAAGCTTTTGTGCAAATTGCCTGAAGACATAAACACAGACAAGTTGAATATATTTTTTATTGGTGCTAGCGGTCAATGTTCAATCCCAGGTAAGAAAATGGGAAGTTTAGCATTATTACATTCTTCCTGAATCTTTGAAGCCCAGCAAATTTCAGTTTTTAATGGTTAGAACATTCACTTTCTGACCCTGAGACCTGGGTTCAAGCCTTACCATGGTCAATTTGTCAGGAAGGAGACTTCTTGATGTTATGGACCTGAAGACGCAATACAAGCATGTAGTACCTTTGGAAAGTGTCTGAAAATGAACGGAACTATTTGGGAGCTGTCAAAAATTAACAAGTCATTGTGACCGAGGATTTGAGCATACTGTCCTTGCTCAAACTGTTGATCATGCCGGATTATGTGCTCTCTCTTCTAGAAACTATAACTAAAGTCCACTCAGCATAGTTGTAGTATAAACCACAGGTGTCCTCTGTGGGTGTTGTACAAACACAAATTTGCCTGAGCAGGCATCTGCAACAGGGATTGTATAGCCACTATCAGTAGACAAGCACACTCAGATACAAGCGTCCAGCTGTTAGTGTGCAAAAAAATCTGTTTTTGCAGAGCAACTAAGTAGTTGCATAAACCATCCTACAACTAGAGTGTTAGGAGGTGACACAAGGTCATTAAGGGAGGTGTGGCAGTAAAAAAAATATAGTTGCAAAATAGAGGAAAAAAATCACTTACTTGCAGCCAAAGATGAGCCAAGGATTTATCGACTGTGAAACGTTTTCTGGTATTAACTTGAAGCAGGTTACTGATCAAATCGATAGCTGTAAATTAATAATAAAAAAAAAAATTATCTGTGGGAAAAGATTCTGAGACAAAAAAAATTAGAAGCTTCCCCAGGGAGGAGGTAGCTAAAATGCAAGTATAGAAATCAATAACTGAAATCAATATACAATTATTTGTCCATTAGAATCTGAAACAAAAAGAAATTTTAGAGAACAATTTTATTACATCTGTACATAGCTAATGAGCTCTGAATTCCAGCAGTCTTAAGTGTGATGATAAGAATTATATATAGCTATCCTCTAATGCGTGCATCAATTCCTGACCCCTGACAATCCCTTTCTTCCCGATATTCAATGCATTCCTATAGTAAAATCATTATCAATGCATTTACATTATACATATAATAGCCCTATTCTATCAGTAATGCTTGCATTCATTCCTGACCACTGACAATCCCTTTCTTCTTGATTTTCAAGGCATTCCTATAGTAAAATCATTAGCAATGCATTTACATTATACATATAATAGCCCTATTCTATCAGTAATGCTTGCATTCATTCCTGACCACTGACAATCCCTTTCTTCCTGATTTTCAATGCATTCCTATAGTAAAATCATTAGCAATGCATTTACATTGTACATATAATAGCCCTATTCTATCAGTAATGCTTGCATTCATTCCTGACCACTGACAATCCCTTTCTTCCTGATTTTCAATGCATTCCTATAGTAAAATCATTATCAATGCATTTACATTATACATATAATAGCCCTATTCTATCAGTAATGTTTGCATTCATTCCTGACCACTGACAATCCCTTTCTTCCGGATTTCCAATGCATTCCTATATGTTATACCGGAACATACCTATTCTATTGTTAATAGACTCTCCCACAGATAATAAGTAGTAGTAGTAGTAGTAGCAGTCGCCAGGGAGCTCAGTGAGTTGGTGAGTCAGTCGATGTCGGACATTAAAATATCAACCACCACAATTAGATTGCTGCGTCATTAACTATTATTTCAAGTTCCTAACGTTTTGTACGTCGAACCTTTTTTAGGACCGACTTAGTGAAATACAAGCCTCCACTGTGAAAACTACTCTACAACACTATAGTAAATTCATTAGCAATGCATTTACATTATACATATAATAGCCTTATTCTATCAGTAATGCTTGCATTCATTCCTGACCACTGACAATCCCTTTCTTCCTGATTTTCAATGCATTCCTATAGTAAAATCATTAGCAATGCATTTACATTATACATATAATAGCCCTATTCTATCAGTAATGCTTGCATTCATTCCTGACCACTGACAATCCCTTTCTTCCTGATTTTCAATGCATTCCTATAGTAAAATCATTAGCAATGCATTTACATTATACATATAATAGTCCCTATTCTATATCAGTAATGCTTGCATTCATTCCTGACCACTGACAATCCCACAAAATCCTGATTTTCAATGCATTCCCATAGTAAAATCATTAGCAAATGTATTTACATTATACATATAATAGCCCTATTCTATCAGTAATGCTTGCATTCATTCCTGACCACTGACAATCCCTTTCTTCCTGATTTTCAATGCATTCCTATAGTAAAATCATTAGCAAATGCATTTACATTATACATATAATAAAGCCTATTCTATCAGTAATGCTTGCATTCATTCCTGACCACTGACAATCCTTTCTTCCTGATTTTCAATGCATTCCTATAGTAAAATCATTAGCAATGCATTTACATTATACATATAATAGCCCTATTCTATCAGTAATTAATTGCATTCATTCAAACCACTGACAATCCCTTTCTTCCTGATTTTCAATGCATTCCTATAGTAAAATCATTAGCAAATGCATTTACATTATACATATAATAGCCCTATTCTATCAGTAATGCTTGCATTCATTCCCTGACCACTGACAATCCCTTTCTTCCTGATTTTCAATGCATTCCTATAGTAAAAATCATTAGCAAATGCATTTACATTATACATATAATAGCCCTATTCTATCAGTAATGCTTGTGTTCATACCACTGACAATCCCTTTCTTCCTGATTTTCAATGCATTCCTATAGTAAAATTAGCATTTATTTAAAACATTTCTATAGAAAATCTTTGCATTAGTACCATGGTTTTTACATTATACAAAATCCTCCCTATAGATTAATGCATTTTTTTTTTTTTTTTGATTAGTGCACTAAAAATTTTATATACACCAAAATTCGATTAGTGTAGTAAAACATTCTTCAGTTTAACCATAGTAATTGAAAATTGATTTTTTTTATAGTTACCGATATACAAATTAGCCACACTAATCATGGGATTCTTGTATAAAATATAATGTACCCAAGAAGTAAAAACTAGTGCTCAATGTTAAAGAACAGAGAATACATATACATACACTTACATATATATATATATATATATATATATATATATAGATATATATATATATATATATATATCCAAAATGAGAGAAAGAACAGATGACGAAAAAATTATATATATATATATGTGTGTGTGTGTGTGTGTGCATTTAGGCAGCAATTCCTCTTTTATACATGTTTTATTAAACACCACTGACAAGGTACTGCAATTGAGCTTTTCATTTAAATTTTCTTGTGTTCATACAAGTGGTTTTTTTGGGGCACAGATTGTGTAAAAACTGTCCAAAGTTCTGCATATCCAAGCACCTTCGGCTATTCTTTTAGCCATTATCAAGGGCGAATTTTTATTTCTGTAGGTATATATGTAGGTTTTTTCATGTATGTGTATGAAGTTATAGGAATGTATTATTTTCTGAAAACAGCCAGTACATTGTGGCTGTGTTCATAGTTAATGTTATTTAGTTTATAAAAAAAAATTTGTTAAACCCTTCCTATTATTAGATTAAGTTAGATTGATTCATTTTTATGACATGTCAACCCTCATTGGATTATTTAATGTTGAATTTTGTATAGGGCACCAAGTGAGGATCAAACTCACTTGTAATGGTTGGTCAGACTAGCCCTACCAACCATTACTCCATGCCAAGGCACTTTACTATTATTAGGTCTTAATATGAGAGGCTTTAAAAATAATTTTCTTCTGCTTATTAATCTTACTTATTATAAAACGCAGATTGTGTGTGTGTCTGTACGTTTATATATTGGATCGGATTTCCTAAACATTTTTTCAACCGATTTCAACAAAAAATTCACAGGATCATGTGAAAATTACCTTGCAGTGGTTCTGACAGTGCCAAAAATTGAAAAACACAATTGTCTTTGCACAAAATCAATTTGAAAACACGATTAAGAGGTATCACTGTCGCCAGAATGAAAGGGGGGACAACTCATATTGAGTTATACTTATTATAAAACCCAGGTTGTTTGTGTGTTTGTTTATATATGGATCGATTTCCTACATTTTTAAAACCGATTTCAACAAAACTTCACTTTTTTTTGGCAGGTAGTGTTTCTATTATCTTGCACACTTTTTTCTTTATTTTTACATTCAGAATGCTTTAAAAATTCCATTTACAAGACAATTGTTTATAATAAAATTCTATTCAATCAGTAGACTCATAACGATTGAAAACAATGTTTTTGTTTGAGTTTGGGTTTGACCAATTCATAAAAAAAAACAAAAAAAATAAAACTAATTAAGACATGCGTGTGCATCAACCTTAAACAATCTTTGTCAATTTTATTTTTCAGTCTTTATGATGGTCGATACTTGATCTATCTCTTACTGTTACATCCCCGGGCAACGTCAGGCTCTACTGCTAGTATATATTAATTCTAAGGATGAGTTTATTACTTAATAGCAATAGAAAACAGATCCCCCACTTATGTCCACTAGAAGCTTACAATAATCCTTGTATAATCCAATTCTATTGTTAGGTGCTTGATATTGTTAACCGTTTTTGGGTCATTTAATGGTGAATTTTGGTATGGGGCACCTAGTGAGGATCAAACTCACTACTCAGTAGTAAGGGTCAACAAGACCAGCCTCACTCACTAACCATTACCCAATGCGGAGGCTCCTTTTTATGATGGAACATACAATTTAGATGAAAGGCCGAAGAAAATTAAGGAAAAATATTTTGATGACTGAATAGTGATGCTATGAATTTATTTAAAAGAAAAGATTTTGTTTAAAAACAATAAAAAAAGGAAAATATTCAAATTCACCAAATAAGATGGAATATATACTGCGTGAACACGTGTATTGTGTGACCCCTAATTTTCACTTATAAAGATGATTTTATCATGTATCGTGTGAGTTCCTATTTTGAGAGACCAAACTAAAATAGACTAACCACTTTTCCTCTATCTCTTTATCCCATCTTCTAGTTAAATAAGTTAAAAAAGAAAATGATAGAAGTATTGTTAGTAATGCTATACTCATTGTGTAAATACGTACAGCCATAAGCAACTGAATGAGAAACAGCTAAACATCTTACTTATAAATGTAAACAATGGAAAAAGATACATATTTGCTATGTTTGTATTTTATAATACGATACTAATATGTGAATAATACGATACTAATATGTGAATATTACATGCATTATTATTGGATACAGTTGAGTAAAACATCAGATTTATCAAAATCATTTTATTTTAAATACGGCTGTACTTTTTGACTACAGTAAATGGATATATAGTTTGGTCAACAGCGTAGCCAGCATCAGCAGTACATACACTAATTTGATATCCTGTGTATAATGCAACTCTCTTAAAATTCAAAAGTCACATGAAAGATAAAAAAAAAAATCATTGAAAGCCAGGGAAAATATTTTGATAAATGAATAATGAAGCTGTAAATTTATCTCAAAGATTTTGTCCACAAATATATGGGAAAGATTTGACAGCACATATCAAATTGCAATGGAGGGATAGACAGTATAAATATAATATCAAAGAAATATATCACATTTCAGTGTAAAACATTATCACTTTTTTGACGGGTTATCTCCTTAAACATTTTATAAGCTGTAAGCACTAAAATGGCCGGTTACTTGTTTTCTGATTCACCCCGACTAGAGCAGCTAGTCAATCCTTGTTGCAGACAGGGACTGACTAGCATATTTGTATTGTTCAACAACCAGAATCCACCTGTAGTCTATGCTGCAACTATGCTAAATTACAGTTTCTGGGAGAGAGTGCATCATCTGGTGTGATCACAATGACTTGTTACTTTATGCTATAATAACTATCAGCAAACAATTCCATCTACCAAATTTCACTCACAAGGCCTGGGACAACCCATGGTATGGTGTTCAAGTACTTTCCAAAGAATTGGCTTAGAGAAGCTTTTTTTTTACCTTTTATCAGTATGACTGATGCTAACCTACCAAAGAATGATGCATTATGGCTTCTCTTGCTAATGTTTTTCACCAACATGAAGGGGAAAGTTTATATTGAATCAATTGCTAAGTCTGCGGCTATGAATGTTGGTTCACTGTGTCATGCTAGACAATTTTTCTCACCAGAATCTATCTTACACATTTATAAGTCTACCAATTACCCAGGTATTGAATATTTTTGTCACATCTGGTATGGTGCTTCTACTATGTATTTAGAGATTTGTGATAAAATACAAAGAAGAATCTGCAATGTTATCAGTCCTGACCTGGCATCTCAGCTTCAGTCACTTTCACGCCACTGTAACATAACTCCCCTGTGCATTTTCTATAAATATTTTCATGTTAATTGTTCTGATGGGCTTTCCTCTTTGGTACCTCGACTTTACGAATTTAAGCCTAATACTAGATTGGCAGCTAGGTCTCATCATTTTAAAGTTGAAATAGACATAACTAATTTCTATGACAACAGTTTTTTTCTCTCTCACTTCTTGCTCTTCTCTGGCTTACTTCCCAATCAACTTTGATCTTCAAAGATTTAAATGCAACGTCAATCACTATATTTTGTTTTCTGAATTCCTGTTCTTTTATCGTTCTTGCTCATTAATTATTTTTTTTCTTTTTTTTCTCATATTCTTTCACACTCAACAACTCTTCATGCCTTAGTGGCTTTACTGCCTTGCTTGTGGTGAAATTGTAAAAAAAAGAAAAAAAAAAGTAACAGGATGAAGTCATCTCCTTGACAAATCGACAATGGTGAGATTAAAAGCTGGCTGTTATTGTCAGAAAGTGAACGTTCTCACAACATGGACATATAAATGCTGTAAAAACTGACATATAGCATTCTGCTCAAAGATGTTAAAACTTGTAACGGAGGATCAGGTAAACTGAACAAGAGACCCGGTATTGTTTGCGTATGATGCATTGAGCACCAGGAGTTACGTCCTATTCCACAATTGGCTGTTGAGAGAAGACATTCTACTTACAGTAGGTGGCACTGACAAAATTTGCATACAAACAATACTGGGCAGGTATTAGCCAATAGCCAGCGTGGGTCTGGGACGGAGAGAGAGAGCTTATGTAACACCAGCTTTTTCTTAATTGTGAGAAATGCTCCAGATGTCCAGAAAACCAGACAGGACTAACACAAATCTGTTTAACAGTATTAGTTTGACACATTATCACAATAGAGACAAGCTTGTTAACCATTGCGCCATGGGAGGAACCATCTCAAAGATGGTAAGTGAGCTTTATATTAATAACAATAAATTTATTTGCAGAAATGGATTTAAATCAAGTTTCTTTAATTTCACAGTGAAAATTCCAAAATATCAAGAATATAAGCAAGCAATTTAACTTGTGCTGAAATAATTCATTAACAAAAAAAAAAAAAAAAAAAAAAAAAAAAAACTAAAAGAAAAGAAAAAAACTTGTTATATAAAGGGAGATAATTGCCATAAATTTTTAAAGGAAATAAAATGACCACATTTAATTTCGAAGTTATCTTTCCTTACCTTCCTGAGAAATCTCTCTCCAAGGAGAAGGAGGATACATGAAAGCAGCATTCTGAATTTGATCACTAATTTCTTCATCTTCATTGAAAGGGAATGTTCCACTAAGGCTGGAAGGGTAAAAGAAAATTATTTCAATTTTGGATCAGTTAACCACATACAATATTTTTAGTATGCCTTAAATATTAATCAACTCAAGATACCTTCAATAAACACGAGTCTTCTGATCCAATGTGATTTTTTCATTAATGAGTTCATGTAACCTTCAATAAGCACAACACTTCTGATCTAAGGTGTTTATATATTAACAATTTATCTCTTATAGTTCCACAAGTGAAATTTATTTTATTTTTTTTTATATCAGATGAGGATTAATTTGGTCAATTTACACAGAAAAGACTAAAAGCCAACATGTGCTTACAAACTGTGTAAACTTTTATATTCCTGAGATGAGGTATTATGTACACTATTTACATTATTCGAACTATTGTCCACAGTCCAGTGGATTTATTACAACGTTTCAGCTGTCATGATAAGAGAAAAAAAGTTCAGAAATCTGTAATGTCGAATGAACTCCCAGAGTTTAATCACTGATAGACTGTTTTTGTTCCATGTCTAATGGATATGGAGTTATCTCTTGTTAATTCCCCTAAGTTCTCCACTGCCTTTCCAACCAGGTATTGAACTCACACTATTTGGGTCCTGTCACTGATCTACAAGAACAAACATATCCACTGTGCCATGTGTCCTGAGACATAGGTTTTATCCATTTGAAAAAGGTGTTATTACATAGAATGTCTATCCCAGTGAATGAGAGACCAACATTTTGTTTGACATTCCAACCACCTGAAGAATGGAGCCAACAACAGACCTGTGATTGTATAAATATGGTAAAAAACCAAGAACAATAGTCCTAATAATGTAAATAGTGCTATATTGTCCAAAGTACAATTTATGACATTAATTTTACTGATTTTCAAATAAATTTTTAAAACATGTCCAGGCACTTAAAGGTTTGTGCAAGACAGATCAACTTGGTGTATTAGTAAGTTTGTCTCATGAGATTAATTATGACTGAGTAATCAGCTTGATCCTCACTGGGTGCTCCATACTTGCAGCTTTATGTCACATCTAAGCTTCATTTTGTAAATCACTAAAAGGTTAAGGAATTTCTGAAGCTTTCAATAAATCATACATTTTAGATCCAATACATTTTTATATTAATGTTTTCATTGACCTTCATTTAGCACCACTCTACATCCAATGTGTTTATACATTAATGAATTTGTGCAGCCATCAATAAGCACGACTCATTACATCCAATGTGACCTGATTTTTGTGTAATTTTTTCAATATTTTTTTAATGAATTCATGAGAGCTTCAGTAAGCTCTACTTTTCAGATCCAACACAATTTTTTTAAAGGGTTGTACAAAAATATCCCAACATTATTGCCATATATTTCCACATATATTACAACCTTTAGATAAGACAAGGTAAAAAAATATAGCAAATTTTCCTAAATTTATCCTATACCTGATATACAGATGATTGCTTATTGATTACATAAAAATGATGTTATTAGAAATGTTACTTACTGTATCCTTAAAAATTTTAAAATAAATGAAATAACAAAACCAATTCTATATCATGTTTTTTCTGACACACGTCCTCTAGAAAGGAAACTAGTTTTGTTTACATTTCATCATGTGATCTCTTGCGAACACTGATTCTTCTTTTTCTATATCTGAACAGTTATGAACAGCCTGGTGAACTAATGGCCATATACTTATACTTCATCAACAAGCACAAAATACTGCTAATAACAGTACAATAATAGTACATTCCATTGCTGTGAATGCAATCATAGCTCTCTTTACATTTTCTCAGCTGAGCTTGCAAGGACACAAGATGATTTTATTGATATGAAATTATTCTTCAAATAGGCAATTTATTATGAAGTTATGTCAGTAATATAGAAAATAAAAATGGTTTTATTACTTTTATTATCAGTTTATTTCATAATGTGAATCTTTTCATGTACATTATTGGTTTATTACAACTGAAAAAAAAACACTAGCAATTTAATGTTTTTTTTTTTTTTTTTTTTTTTAGAATTGTAGTATAAGATTAACCCCAATTTTTCAGGGTGATTAAGGTGATTTTGATAGTCATCTTGTTACCAGTTTTTCAGGGGGCAAAAACCCCTAGATCAGGTGTATTTAAAATGGTATTTTCATACTTGAATTTCAAAAGACACCCAAATTTTAAAATTTGGATTTAGATTGTTTTTCCCTACTAAAGACTTGTAAACTTTGTCAATGGAATTAGCAGAAACAGATATAATATTCTTAAGTTGTCTGAATTTCTTGTATGAAATATTGTCTTTATTATTAATTTCTTGAAAATCTTATCAAAAGGTACCAAATTTAATTAATGCAATAAAAGTTGACATAATTAAAAGGAACAAGGAAAACTTACACTACAGTAGGCAATACAAAAAATAAAACATTATAGAATGAGCTGACCGGTTATCACTCCTCACTCATCAGATCTCAATCTTCTATGTGCTGTGTCGCTTCAGAACATTGGTGATCATAGTTCTTCACAATTTGTATCTCTTAATTGTCTTTTTATCTCTCCTAAACTTTGTTCAACCAACCATTTAATAAAGTTCACTAGGTAGGTTATGTATTGTTTTCTTCTGTTCCTCTTGCCTTCAGTTTGTCTTGTGAGTATCAAATTTACCAAGCCCTCTCTCCTCATTATCTGCTCCAGAAATTTCAATTATCTCTTTCTGATGTTAAGTGTAAATGTCCATTTTTTTTGTTTCAATTTTCTCTAAAACTTTTGTCATTTTGTGCTTCATGGTATTCTCAACATCCTTCTGTAAAACCACATTTCTGTTGCTTCAAGTCTTTTCTACGAGGAAATTGTTCAGCAGTCAATAGCATATAAGATGGCTAATACAGGAGAACTTGATCAAAGGAGTTAAGATATTGTGCATACCGACTTAAAAAAAGAAAAGGAAACCCGAGGAAAGAAAATACACAAATATCAATACTATATTGACATGGGTATATCTATAGGCAGATCACATTAAGTTTTGACAACCAATCCTTTTGCGTGCATAACAATGATTGTCTTTTATGTCATAGTTGGAATGTGTTCTACTCAAAACTGAGAACCTGTTTTCATGGAAGGATGATGGACATTCCAGACTCAGATGTAAAAAAAACAGCAAATTTTCTAGTTGACCTTTTGAAATTGAGTGGTCCTACTTATATAGCCAACTTCACACACTGACACTTAAGTAGAAAAGTTACAGAACATGTAAGAAAGATAGGTAGATTGTTTTTATGAAACAAGTGAATAAAAATAATGCAATTAAAAGGAACATAAGTAAAATTTCAACTACAGTAGTTGGCTATACAAAAAGCAAAAAAAATCCTATAGAATGTCAGAACTCAAATGAGAAAATTAAAATATTGTGCATATTGACTAAAAAAAAGGAAACATGTGGAAAGAAAATACATATCTATCAATAATATACTCACCTATATCGACAGACAGATAATAACTCCAAACAAACAATCGTTGTCTTTGTTTAATATAAATTGTTTCAAGGACTTTCAAATGCTTGTTGGAATGTGATCGGCTAAGACTAAGAACATATCCTCACAGGAGGAGGATTATACATTCTCAATTTTTAATGTTTTGAGATTGCAGATCCCAGATGTGATGGAAGACTTCTGCAAGTTTTCTAGTTGACCTTTTGAAGATGAGTGGCCCTACCTATATAGTCAGTTTTACTTAAATTAGAAATATTTGTATTTTCTTCCTCATATTTCTCTTTTTTAGTCAGTGTGCACAATATTTTCATTTCCTCAGTTGAGATATGACAAGGGAGGAGTGATAACCGGTTAGTTCATTCTTTAGTACATTTTTTTCTTTTCGTAATGCCAACTATTGTCAATGAAGTTTTCACCTTGTTCCTTTTAATTATGTTTGTTTTTATCATGATATTATTTTTACTAGGTTTTCTGTCATTATTTTTGCTTTTTATTTCAATTCTTCGGTCATTTTTAGATTTATTCTTTGATTGTCAAATATAAAAAAGGATCTTTTAAAAAATAAAACTTTCAGGGAAAATTGAGCTTGAGCCTCTTATCAGGAGCTTGTCTTACTGTGACAAAACCGGACTGATTAGATTCTTCTCCTCCTATGTGCTGCATCCCTTCAAGATATGTGCAATCATGGCTCTCCACAACTTTCTATCTCCTGTAGCCCTTAGTAGTATTTCTTTGCCAAGCTTCCTGTCCCCGTTCTGTCATCTATTTACACAAACTCGTTAAGTAAGCAGCTTGTTGTCTTCTATATCTATTGCTCTCAATATGCCTGTGAGGGTGATGTTTTACAAGCCCTCCTTTCTCGTTATACATTCAAGTAATTTCAGCTCTCTTTTCCTGATTCTGTGTTAAGTGATCTTTCTGTTGCCATTTTATTTCAGACTTCCTTGTTGCTTATTCGCCTTAAACCTAATGTCATTTCTCTCCAACTTCCCTGCAATTGTTTTTTTTAATTTGCTCATGGAGTTGGCCTGATTCCAAAATGGTATGATATGTTGGGCTATGGCCTTTTGGAATAAAGTTGAAAAAGTGTGACACACTGACATTCATTCAGTGTGTGTGTGTGTGAATATAGATAGATTTCTTTGATTGTCAAGTATAAAGAAGTAATCAGATTTTAAAAAAAGTTTATTTTAAACTAGACCACCCATGAACTTCTTTTAAAAGCATTTCATGATACAAAATGATGAAGCAACAATATTATCAATTTTATTATTAATTACACATTTTAATTTGTATTTAAAGATTGTAAAAAAGGTTTATTGTTTTACTGGGCTTTACAGTTAAAACATTGTGTGAAAATTTGGAGTAATAGCTTAAAACAAGTGTAGTCTTTTTTAAATAAGTATATTTTTTATTAATTATTAATCAATAAGTAAACATTTTTGCTGACCCAAAATGAATGAAAACTACCAAAACCCCTTAATGCAAATATATCCTGCTTTACAGTATGAAAATAAATTATTTTCCATTATCAATAGATATGTTTTACTTTCTATTATTTTGAATACAAAATTAATGATCAATACTAAAGACAGTCAAAGATGTTTTATTGTTCCATACATATAAGATTAGTGTTTTAGTATTACATAAAAACATTAATGTAAGTTTATTTGAAAAGATTTATGTAAAACAATTTTTAAAAACAAGTTTCATTTAAAAGAAAATTTAAAAACAGTTTATTTTAAGAATATGACTTTAAAGAAAGTATTTAAAAATCTCAAGAAAATTTAAAATCTCAAGAAATTTATTTTGAAAGATCTCGCAAGAAATTAAAAGAATAAAGATCTCGTAAGAAATTAAAAAGAAAGCTTTTTTGAAAAGAAAGAAATTAAAAGAAAGCATTATTTTGAAAGATCTCGCAAGAAATTAAAAGAAAGCATTATTTTGAAAGATCTCGCAAGAAATTAAAAGAAAGCATTATTTTGAAAGATCTCGCAAGAAATTAAAAGAAAGCAAGAAAGATTAAAATTAAAAAAGCATTATTTTGAAAGATTTCAAAATATTATTTTGTTCATTTTAAAAAGAAAGCATTATTTTGAAAATGCTTATTTCAAAAATTAAAAAGGTTTTTTTGAAAGATCTCGCAAGGTTTATTTCTAAAAAGAAAAAATGGTTTATTTGAAAATTGAAATTTTTTTTCTTTAAAATAGTTTTAGAAACTAAAAAGGTGTTTTTGAAAAATATAAAATTTCTTAAAAAAAAAAAAAAAAAACTGTTTAAAACATTTATTTTTTTGAAAAGATTTATTAAAGAAAGTTGAAAGTTTTACAAATGCTTACAATGTAACCAGAAATAATAAAATTTTTTTCATATTTGAAAATTGAAATAAATTATTTAGAAACCAAAATATCAGAAAAATATAAAATTTTTTTTAAAATTTGATAAAATTTAATAGGGGATCAAATTTGCAATTCCCTAATGGAAACCAAAACAAAATATGCTCATCTGATGTGATTTCTTAAAGTGCCAAACTAAAAAAGAATATTTGAAATTCATAATCTGCAGTTCTTTTTCACATATACATAGCAATTAGGCACTCCAGATTACAAATTAAAACAAAAAATAAATTGAAGAAATCATGTCATATGAACCTATTTGTTTGGGCTTCTGTAGGGGAAACAATTTACAACAAATTTCCATTGCAAACTGGACCACACCCTTTTAACATTATAAATTTTAATTATAATTTTTTTTTTTGGCTGAAGTTTAGAAAAGTTAATAGGAGGGGGTCCAGTTTGTTATGTAAATTGATCCCCCTAGGGGTACCAAAATAAAATATGTTCTTCTGACCTGATTTCTTAAAATGTAAAAAAAAAAAAAAATTTTTTTTTTTTTTTAATTTGTTTGTTATCTGGACTGACTAATTAATAGTAGTATATATGAAAAAGAACTCCAGATTATGAATTTCAAAAATTATTTTACTTTTAAGAAATCCTGTTGTATGAGCATATTTTCTTTTGGATTCCACAGGGGGAATAATTTACATAGCAAATTGCCACCCCAAACATTTATTTATGTAAAATTTAATAAAAAAACTTGTTTTTCATGATCTAGAGTGCTTGATCTATAGTAATATGAAAAAACATTATTATTATTTCTGAATGCAAAGCTTAATACACAATGCCACCAAAAGATTTATTAAAATAAAATAAAGTTTATTCAAAAAAGTGTTTTTTTTTTAATAATTACATACCAAGTAAAACAATAAAGCCACTAAGACACAAGGAGTTACTGAGTGTGAAAGAATAAGTAAAAGAGAAACAGTAAGGAGTGAGAACAATAAAAAAATAAAGATTTAAAAAGAGATTACTATAAGAAAAATGTCATGTTTATATTAAAGATTTCAAATATATTTAAATCTGATTTGGGATCAAATCCAACAAAATGTTTGGTTTGTTTTGTGGCATATCAACCTCAATGGGTTATTTAATGCCCACAAGATTTTTATTGCTGGTAATATTTTGTTTTTTCAAATGTATTGTTGGTAATTTTTTTCTTCAAAAATCTATTTCTGCTAATAATTTTTCTTCAAAAATGTATCGCTTGTAAATTTTTTTCCAAAAAAGTATAGCTGGTAACAACTTTTTTTTTTTTTTTACAAAGTATTTCTGGTATTAAAACATATTTTTACACTTTCATAGTGTTTTTACCCCAGTTTTGGGGCTAACTATTTGCCTATAGCTGGGGCCTTAACAGGTGCTACCACCCTGGGTCAGGGTGGACCTGGGAATACCAGTAATTAAGAGGTTTGGTTTGGTTTGTTTTACAGCATATCAACCTCAATGGGTCATTTAATGCCGACAACTTTTTTTTTTTTTTTCTGGTAATATTTTTGTTTTGTCAAGCATCTATTTCTGTTAATATTTTTTACAAAGTATTTCTGGTATTAAAACCTAATGCTTTTTTACCTCAGTTTCGAGGTTAACTATTTGCTCATAGCTGGGACCCTAACAGGTGCTACCACCCCGGGTCAGGGTGGACCTGGGAACACCAACAATTAACAGGAGGATCCATGCTCTTCAAATCCTCCTGATCAGAGGCCTTGCTGTTGTATGTAGTTTATCGTCTTACCCTAGACCCGGATGTAGTTTATCGTCATATCCAGGACGGCAATTAAGAGGTGGTTCCACACTCGTCAAAACATCCTGATCAGAGGCCTTGCTGTTGGACATAGTTTATCATCTTACCAGGACGGCCAACAGAATGGTAAGATAAAGAACAAATAGGAAACATTTATCAATCTAACCTGTTTCCATTTTATAAAAGCTTTATCAGAGACTAAGAGCATCACAAACCGTTAATTATCAAGTTTTATTAAAAAGATGACTAATGAGGTTTGCAATTAAGCTTTTTATTCAAATTTTCTTGTGTTCATATAAGTGTTTTCGTTTCTGGACATAGTAATGTTTCTGTTTAGAATTCTTTCAAACCTTGTGTATTAGTGGCTTTACTACCTTGCATGGGATGAAATCAATTAAAACAAGATTATATATATATATATATATATATATATATATATATATATATATATATATATATATATATATATATATTGACCAAGCACTACTATAAGTTTCATTCCAATGCTGTCTGGCTGAAGATTGCATGCAAGTGCATCAAACTAATAGTAGATCATTGTACACAGGAAAATAATAATGGAAAAATATATGAGTTGGGATCAAATATGGATTGTATTCTCACAGAAGGATATGATAAAGAACGAATAGGAAACATTTATCATTCTAACATATTTCACTTTTATTAAAGCTTCATCAGAGAATGAGATATGGAGAAAAAGAAAGAAAGAAATTTTGGTATTTTTATTTTTGTGTTTGATTTTCATTGGTTAATCAATGTTTTATGTGCATTCAACTTGATTAACCAATGAAAATCAAACAACACAAAAGTAAAAAAACTAGAATTAATTTCTTTTTTCTCTCCATATCTCATTATCTGATGAAGTTTTAATAAAAGTGAAACATGTCAGATTGATAAACATTTCCTATTTTACCACATTTAAATCTGTGATATATCTACAAAATTAAAAAAAGAAAAAAGGAAGAGTATTACTATCTTGTTAGGAAACAAAATTTCTAAATAATTACTTTTATTTAGAAATTGACAAGAACTTTCTTTCCAACCAAATATTTTAAATCCTCGACTTACCTTACATATATAACGACCCCCACTGACCACATATCCAAGGACCGATTATAACCTTTACTGGTCAACACTTCTGGAGCTTTAGAATAGAATAAAGAATGTGTCACAGTTTGCTGTCTAACAACAATACACAAGAAAAATAGATATGTATAAAAATGGCTAGAGAAAAGAGTAGTCATAAATGTTTATGTCATATCTAAGATGTGGAATATTTACTATGCATACATAAGAATTACAGCGATATGACATAGCAAGATTTCCTTGTGAGGATAACCTCATATTGTCTACCAGGATGCCCACTATAAGTCACTTTATTCAGGACTATAAAAGCAAAGGACATAAATACTCTTCCCCTTTTGCTCCTGAATGAAGTAGCAAAAATAAAAGGACTTCTCTCCACCAGATTTTTCCCCACTCCTGACAGACCACTGTCTTAATTTCAACCAGTCACATGGTGCATCACACATATTTTCTAACTACAAAGTATTGGATTACTACCCCCAATGATAATCACAGGTGATGATATTTTGAATTACTGCCCCCTGATGATTATTACAGGCAGCACCAGATTTGAAAGAATCCATCTTTCTTGGTGGCTTTTCATAGTGAAAAGACAATCATTTTTCTCCCTAAAAAATATGAGTACCTCAACTACAGACTCTGAAGGTTGCTTTGAACTCTTCACTTTTAATTTGATTTCCCATTTTTCCTTTTGTAAAATATCCTATCAATATATTTGTTAATAATTCTTTGTTTAAATTCTAGGTCTTATTTTTCCTTTGGACCGCCAAAAATTGTTTGTGGGTCAAATGTACAAGGAGCATGTCAAATCTCAGCAAAAGTGTTGAAGCAGGCAACAAAGGCCAAGAATGTTTTTTTTTTCTTCCTTTTTCAGCTTTCTGTGCACAAACAACTATATTTCTCTTCTTGAATGATTTTATTCTTTATATAAAAATATGTATTTAACATTCCTACATGTGTTGAAAATTATCCCTTTTAAAAAATGTAGAATTCATTTACTTTGAATGTCTTAATTCATTGAAACATATATATAATTTAGAGCACAATTACATTTTGCTCTTAATAGACAAACTTACCGAGATAGGCGGGAGTACCAACAACAGATCGTCGAAAAGACTTTTCCCCAATAATTCTGGCAAATCCAAAATCACACAATTTCACCTATTAAGAAAAAAGGGAAATACATTGTTTTTTATTTATCATCTGCATAATCTTTTTATATTTATACATTACATAAAAATAAAATGATTTG